TAAGGTTTGGAAGGCACAGGTGCAGGTGTTGGCATATGTGAGCGGTAAGCTTTTGTTGAGTACAGGCAAGAGTTCAGACTCAGACAAGAAGTTGGACATTCCGTTACTGAGCAGTTGCATATAGATTTCCTTCTTAGAAATAAGTTTCTCTGTGATAATGTATAGGATATATACTTTTATTCAGATTACAGACCAGGTTTAGAAGCTAAAAGCATATGTAACATACACCCCAAACTCTCAAGTACTGTGTATAATGTGAGTGTTTCAAAATTAAACCCTGAAGTTTCCGATTGATTCTTGTAATAATTTACAAGTAGGATTTTTTTCTTGTAGATTCCAACATATATCTGTACAGATACTTGAGGTTGTTCATTTGTTTTTGAGATAGGGACCTGTTAATGTAGATCAGCCTGGCTGTGTAACCCTGCACAGTCTTAGGTTTTTCTTGCTCTAATCTTCTGAATGTTGAGATCGTGCGTGTGCGTGTGTGTGTGTGTGTGAGAGACAATGTCAAGTTCATTATGGTTTTGACTGTTTCCCTAATAATTTATGATGAGCATCTATTCATGTGCTCATTGGCTGTTCGTAGGTCTGGGGGAAGGCTGCCAATGTTATTATTTCACCACTGAACTTCATCACTACCCCTGTTTGCCCATTTTTAAAATGCATTTTTAAACGCATTTCATACAGCTACATGTGGTCTCCTGAACAAACCCACCCTCCATTAGCACCGTTTATTCTCTTACAGATTCCTGTTTATACATCTGTGATTTTCCTCACGTATATATAAAATCTAGATGCCACACACAAGAGAAAATCTGTGCTACTTGTTTTTCTGAGACTGGCTGGATTCACTCACTATGCTTACTTCCCTGCAGTTGCCTGTGATGCCACTTCTGTGGCTGAGGAAGGCTCGCTGTGTGCACAACACACTTCCTCACCCTCCCTTCTCTTGCCTCCTAGCTTAGCTGTTGAGAGCAGTCTGTGTAGTGTGCTGCCTTAGAGTCTTTCTGGCAGATACCCTGTTGCAGAACAGGGTTATTTAGCAGGTCTGTTTTCAGTTTTTTTTTTTTTTGTTTTGTTTTGTTTTTTCGAGACAGGGTTTCTCTGTGTAGCCCTGGCTGTCCTGGAACTCACTCTGTAGACCAGGCTAGCCTCGAACTCTTGAACTCAGAAATCCGCCTGCCTCTGCCTCCCAAGTGCTGGGATTAAAGGCGTGCGCCACCACCGCCCGGCTTCAGTTTTTTTTAAAACGAATTTTTGTGCGTGGATTCAACACATTAGTGATTAGCTCTGAGTCACCAGTAATGTATCGGTATCAAATTAAGGAAAGAATGTTCTCTTGGTGTGATTTAACCAAGAGTGGTCCAGATTTGAATTCTCTGCTTTATGTTCCCTGAGTCTTCTGTCCTCTGTTGTGGGATCTGAATCTGTGCCTGACTGAAGGCTGTCTTGTTAGTATGTCCCTGTGTCTGTGTCTTCTGTGTCTGTCAGTTATAGGAACTGTGTCTATCCTTAAACAAAGGACTCCACTCTGTCTTTCTTCAATAGCACAGAAAGCATCACATGGGAAGGAATGGGACAGTTGACAGAAATCTTTAGCAAAGGTTTACAAGGAATTACATCACTGGCTCCAACTGACGGAGACAATAAACAGTACTGTAAACATTGTTTAGTAACCAATATACATACATGTTGCATTCAACCTTTTTGGTACATTTTAGAAAGTTGTTTTCAATCTCTGTACTTGCTGCATTCAGCAAATAATACACATGCTTCATTCTGAGACAGGGGCATGGACAAGTGTATAATTTAAGATTACAACTATGCATTTGTTTAGGTTGTAAAAGTCCAAGGCAAGTGAGATGGTTGTTACATTGTTTCCTTAAAGGCAGGCTAAACAGCTTGAGCACATAGGCTGTCAGTCAAGACATAAGTGACCTCAGGTTGTATTATTAATTCTGACTATGTGGTCCAGCAGAAGTCCTAGACTCTTAAAATATAAGCAACATTTTCAGAATCTTGGGATGGTTTTATTTGTCCTTTTTTTTTTTTTAACATCACTGTACATTTTATTTTTTAATTGGATATTTCCTGTCATTTTTGATGTTAGAGGTAGAATTATGTTTATGTGGCTATCTTCTTTTGGGTTTATTGAAAGAAGATTACTTTCATGCTTTTCTTAGGGGATAGTTTCCCTCCTTGTGTTGTAGTTTTCCATCTAGTATCCTTTGTAGTGCTGGGTTTGTGGAAAGATACTGTGTAAATTTGGTTTTGTCATGGAATATCTTGGTTTCTCTATCTATGTTAATTTTGAGTTTTGCTGGTTATAGTAGCCTGGACTGGCATTTGTGTTTTCTTAGGGTCTGTATGACATCTGCCTAGGATCTTCTAGCTTTCATAGTGTCTGGTGAGAAGTCTGGTGTAATTCTATCAGAATAGATCTGCTTTTAATATGTTATTTGACCTTTTTCCCTTACTGCTTTTAATATTCTTTCTTTGTTTCATGCATTTGGTGTTTTGACTATTATGTGATGGGAAGAATTTCTTTTCTGGTCCAATCTATTTAGAGTTCTGTAGGCTTCTTGTATGTTTATGGGCATCTCGTTCTTTAGGTTAGGGAAGTATTCTTCTATAATTTTGTTGAAGATATTTACCGGCCCTTTAAGTTGGGAATCTTCACTCTCTTCTATAAGTATTATCCTTAGGTTTGCTCTTCTCATTGTGTCCTTGATTACCTGGATGTTTTGGGTTAGGAGTGTTTTACATTTTATATTTTCTTTGACTTTTGTGTCAGTTTTCTATCTTCTGTACCTGAGATTCTCTCTTCTATCTTTTGTATTCTGTTGGTGATGATTGCGTCTATGACTCCTGCTCTCTTTCCTAGGTTTTCTGTCTCCAGGGTTGTGTCCCTTTGTGATTTCTTTATTGTTTCTATTTCCATTTTTAGATCCTGGATGGCTTTGTTCAATTCCTTTACCTGTTTGTGTTTTCTTGTAATTCTTTAAGGGATCTTTGTGTCTCCTCTTTAAGAGCTTTTACCTGTTTACCTGTGTTCTCCTGTATTTCTTTAAGGAACTTATTTATGTCCTTCTTAAAGTCTTCTATCATCATCATGAGATGTGATTTTAAATCAAAGTCTTGCTTTTCCGGTGTGTTGGGGGTATCCAGGGCTCGCTGTTGTGGGAGAACTGGGTTCTGATGATGGCAAGTAGTCTTCATTTCTGTTGTTTATGTCTTTGCTCTTGCTTCTCAACATCTGGTTATCTCTGGTATTAACTGGTCTTGCTGTCTCTGACTGTGGCTTGTCCCTCCTTCAAGCCTGTGTGTCAGCACTCTGGGGAGACAAGTTCTTTCCAAGAGAAATTTGGATATAGAGAGCTGTGGCACAGGGTCAGCTCTGGGGCGCAGATGGGAACCGGAAGGGTTGTTTGTTGTTTTTGTTTTTGATACAGATTTACTGTGTCTCTTGGGTGGCCTGGAACTTAGAAATCTGCCTGCCTCTGCCTTCTAGAGTGCTAGGATTAAAGGCACTATTTTGCTATCAAGGGAAGGCAGTTTTTAGTTTACTGCAGAAATTCCACTAGGTTCCCTAATAACAGAACTGGTTCATCTTCCTGCAGCAGTGGCAGATAAGGCTTATCTCTTGTCTGCATTCTCTGAACTTTTTTTTTATTTTACTTTTTCTCAGAACTCAGATATTTTTAGGTTGTGTAGAGCAGTCACTTTCCTCTTTGGAGTAGTAAGAAAGACACCTTTAACCATGTGCTTGAGCAAGGAAATAAATTGAAGACCAAAGTTCCCTGGGTGAGCAGGTAGTTTAAATTGTTAAACAGTATCTGCTCACAGATTTATGATAGAGAAATTTGATTGAATGAGAGAAGCAAAGAAAGTTACCGTTTGATCACAAACATAAAAGGGAAATTAAGACTGTCTTCAGCTGTGGAAGTGTGTCTACTTCCTTATTTCTTTATTTAGTGTGTTCTTGTACTTTGAATTGGGAACAAAATCTTAATCTATTTTAATAAATTTTGTGTGCTCAATATTGTCTGCCCCCCTTTAGTGTATCTTCGTGTGTATGTGTGTATGCATAGTAGGTAGTGTGGGTGCATGTGTGTCTCTGGCTGTGTGTATGCAGGACTGCCCTGGGTGGTGTTCCTCTGGCATTTTCTATTCTTTTCCTTTCTTTTTCTTTTTTTTTGGGGGGGGAGGGGAGGGGTAGAGTAGACATGTAGTCTTTCACAGGGCAGTAGCTTAGTGAATCGGCAAGGCTGGCCGCCCAGCAAGCCCCAGGGATCTACCTGTCTCTGCAGCCTTAGCACTGTGCCACAAATACACACCACTACACCTGGCCCTCATTTTAAACATGTTAAAAATGTTTTAAACATTTTAAACACAGGAACTCAGATCCCTGTGCTTGTACAGTGGGTACTTTACCAACTACAGTGTCTCCCCAGCTCTCGCTCTCTTTTCTTAGGCTTGGTCCTCTACCTTTCCCTTTGCATCTTCTCTGCATATGTAGACAGTGCAGCTGCATTTCCTGGACAGGCGTTGGTTTCTCAGTATGTCAGGGACTATACGATAGTGTTCTCTGCTGACAGGGCACTTGTAATTTGCTACAGCTTTGTGTCCCATGAATCTTTGTTGATGACAACAAAGATCTAACAGATTGAGAACTACCATTCTAGGGCTGGAAATACAGCTCAGTTGGTAAAACACTTGGCATAAAGTTACCTGGTAATAAAATGTAATCTCAGTCTGAAGGCAGAGGTAGAAGTTCAGGGACATTTTCAGGGACATAACCAGTTTGAAGATAACCTGGACTGTATGAGATACTGCCTCATATAGTCAAAAAAAAAAAAAAAGACAAAATCAACCAATGCCCAACACTGTTCTTGGATAGACTGGCAGTAGGGATTTGGCAGCCTAGGGAGCTTTTCTCAATTGCTTGCTTACTATTGATTCCATTTTAATGACTCTAGTTTTCTCCTGTTTCCTAGCCACTTCCTGAGAAGTTTGTGGTGAAGGGTGTCGTGGATCGCTTTTCAGAAGAGTTTGTGGAGACCAGAAGAAAAGCGCTGGACAAATTCCTAAAACGGATTACAGATCATCCTGTGCTCTCTTTCAATGAACACTTCAGTGTGTTCCTCACTGCTAAGGTACAGACAGGATTCTGTGTGTGTTCCTATAAATGCTCATTCTCGGGCTCCTTCTCAAACACTGCTTTGCTCTTTCACGAGCCACTTCCACGAGTGGCCCTCTGAGGTGGGCATCATAAAAGCCCTCTACTTTCTTGGTGCCCATTGCATTGGCACAGTTCGGTTTAGAATTCAGCAGGAGAATAGGCTACGACTGTTCCCGCCCCCCTTGCAGCAGCAATGAAAGTCAATATTCTCACTTGCCAAAAGCACAAGCATCCATTAAACACTTCTTGGCAGTGTTAGTAGGTTGGCAAGCTTACCAACAATAGGCACAAAATAGGAAGAATGCTGAGTGTTTGGTAAGAATGTTCTTCAGGGCTGCCAAGATGGTTCAGTGGGTCAAGTATTTGCTACAAAAGCCAAAGGAGCCACGTCCTCTCGTCAGGACCCATGTAAAGGTGAAAAGATTCAGTTCAGCGAGATTGTCCTCTGACCTCCACATGCCTGACACCTACACACCAAGGTGTGCGCCAAGGTCCTTGTACCCACAGAGTACTAAGGAACCAGGAATATTAAACACAAAGGAGCCTCTCTGCAAAAGAGGAATTACCTGTTTTTCAGCCAAAAGGCTGGGAGTGGACATGGTGAGCCATCTGGTGACTTTTTTTTTTCCTGTCTGTCTGTAGAGGTAGACTTTTCCCACCTTTTGCTGTAGAGACAGACCCCACCTAAATCACCCAAAAATGTTTATCCCAGACTACCCCCCTAGACTGTTAATCTTTAGTTCCCAGTTAATAGAACCCATTCCTAGGGGAGATGTCACATGTACTTTCTGGCCTCAATGCTATGTTGGTCAGAGACCACAGAAATTCTAAGCCTTCTGACTACAGAACCCACCCTCGTGGGACTTGGACTTTGTAAAACAGTGTCTGTGTAGTCACGCCTTGAGCTTTATTGTACACCTGGAACTGGAATGACTGTTTTCTGGAAACGTTTCCCCAAACTGTGCTGTGTTTTAAATGTGCCGACAATGAATGACCTGGCATCAGACTCCCCAAGTTTGATCCAGGTTGATGACGTCAGTGTGAGCTGAGTTTTTATTCTCACCTCTTCATAGTCACTCCCCTGCCTGAGCACCTGCAGAGCGGTACTCAAGAACCTTGAAAGGAACCAGCTTCATTTTTCAGACAAGGAAACTGAAGTTCAGAGAGGTTAAACTTGTTCAGTTGACATCACTAGGACTTGAAGTTGGGCCCTGTGGCTCTTAAGGCCCCCCTTTCCAGCTGTATCACAAGGCCTGGCATTGCCTGCCAACACTCTGTTCCTCTTAGGTGTGTTTTCCAGTCATTTGCTAGAAAAACATTTGGCTTCCAGTGTGATGCTAGAGACTGTTGGAGCTCAAGTCGCTTGTACACTGGCTTTGTGCTTCACCTGCAGTTGTCAGAACTGGCCTGAAATCCAAGGCAGTCCACTCACACTGTGCAGAAATGGGTCATGTGTTCAGACCCTCAGGCAGCTTAGCTTCTCCCTAGTTAACCCATTTAGTTTCAGATCCATGCATTCAAACCATATATAATGTGCTCTAAGGACAAAGGGGTTGAAGTCTAGGTCCTTTTTTTTTTTTTTCTTGGTTAAAATTGCAAGAAAAACAGACATGTATACAGATAGCAGCTGCTGACATTTGAGGCTCCCAGAAGATTCTGTTCTCCACTCATGGAAACTACCTGGCAAAGTCCAAATGTTTTTTGTTTTTAGCTTCAGTTGAAGGCTGCCCGTGCACTAGCCCCCTCTACAGGTTGAGCCTGTTTAAATGTAACCGTTTCTCAGCATACTGATGCTTGGGTGTGGTTCTTCCAGTTTCTTGTTTTCCCAGAGTGCTAATTGGCTCTGAGGTTGCAAGTCCTTTGTTCTGAAGCCCCAGGCTGCCCTCATTACTGAATGAGGGCTGTGGCTTGGATTCCTGGTCATTAGGAATCTTCGTGAAGAGTGAGTGGGAGATTGTGTGTATCTTGGAGAGAGATGAATTGAGATTTCTGGGCTAAACAGTGTGACTTTTTTTTAAAAAAAAAAAAAAAACAGTGTGATTTTTTTTAAAAGATGTGCAATAAGGTCCTTCAGTGTCTCCATCAAAATCCAGTTCCATGGAAGGGAATGCGAGAGAGTAGTCCATAAATCAACGAGTTCTACCTGGGCTTGGGGTGGTGAACACTTTTAATTTCAGCACTTGGGAGGTGGAGGCAGAAAGAATAGGAATTCATCCTCAGTATATAGTGACTTGAAGGCCAGCCTGAGTTCCATAAACTCCTGTCTGAAGAAACAGGACTTTCTATTCTTAGAAAGCTGCAGCTCTACACTCATGAGACAGTAGCTCTGTTTCTCCCCACTAACTCTCCTGTGTTCTCCTTTAACATACTGTTGTGTGAACTTCCCTGGAGTGAGATGTCAACAAACATCTATTATTTCCCAAGACAGGAGACCAACAACAGACCAGCATAATGATTCCTCCAGAGCTGATCTAGTGAATGTGTTTGGTTTTATCTACAGCCCCCAGGGAGGGGGTTACTTACAGGAGCCAGGAGCATGTGTAACTGAAACAGTCTTACCCCAGTGTAGGCCATGACTTTCCTGTAGTTGTACAGATGAATACCCCACCCTATCAGCTTTTGTGCTGTATGTAACTCACTCTTACAACAAAGGAGAGTTACATACAGCTGTCAGTGGGGTCTAGGAAGGAATGTCTAGAGTCTCAGGTAAGGGTCTGGTGATCTTCCTCCTATGAGTAGCAAAAGGCCCGATCTTGACAAGGGTCCCTTGGGTAGTCACAGCTGCTAGATTCAGGCACTAAGCTGGGAAGGGAAGTGTTTTATAGCATGCAGTGAGGCCAAGATCCTAGATGAAGCACTTATATGCATTTACAAGACAGCCCTCTTGGTGATGGCATGCCCTCATCCCAAACTAGACATGTCCCCAAGAAGAAGCCAGTGGTTCTGGGAGAGTGTAAGAAAGCTCAGTGGGGACTTATGGGAAGGAATGGGAGCAGGAGGCTTGTTTCCCTGACAGGGACACTGTATATGCATTTGCTTGTTGCTGTTTTGAGATAGGGACTGTGGTGGTTGGAATAAGAGAATGCCCCCCCCCCACATAGTTCATAGATTTGAATGCTTAGTCATTAGAGAGTGGCACAATTTGAAAAGGATTGGGAGGTGTGGCCTTGTTGGAGGAAGTGTGTCACTTGAGGTGGGCTTTGACATTTCAAAAGCCCACACCAGGCTCAGTGTCTCACAACCCCCACCTGTGGATCACTGTCTGTCTGTCTGTCTGTCTTTTCCAGTGGATCAGGGTGTAGTTCTCAGCTGCTTTTTCAGCACTGTGCATGTCACTGTGCTCCTTGCTATGACAATACTGGTCTACACCTCAGAAACTGCAAGCAAGCCCCAGTTGAGTGCCTTCTTTTGTAAGAGTTGCTTTGGTCTTGGTGTCTCTTTACAACAACAGAAAGTGGTGATGGCAGGCCTCACTCTGTAGCCCGCCCTAGCTAGAGTGCCTGATCCTTATTTCTTAGCCTCCAGTGCTGGAATGATCCGAATGCACCACCAGCTCAGCCCTAAGAGCTGCTTGTTTGTTTGTTTGTTTGTTTGTTTGGTGGGTCAGTTTGAGGCACAGATTCTTACTGTGTAAGGCAGGCTGGCCATGAAATCACAGAGATTCACTCCCTCTACCTCCTTGTGTAGTTAAAGCCAATTGTAACCTCATGTTTTTCCACCTGTGAACTTTGTTCCCAGAAATTGTGACTCTGAGACTTAATATTTCATGAATAAATGCCTAGGCCAAAGCTTTGCTTGTTCCCCGACGAGCTCTTAGCATAACTACATATTTATTCTGAGTTTGCCATGTGGCTGGTTGCTTGGTCCTCAATTTCATGTGACTGTCTTCTGTGTCTGGGGCAAATCTTTCCACACCTATCTCTGTTCCCAGAAATCCTCTCTGTGTACTGGAACTTCCACCTCTGTATTTCCTGCCTAAGCTAGTAAGCCATAGGCTGTCTTATTGACAGGTGGATGCTTCTACACAGAGAACAAGTGTGGATTCTCTCTACACTCGAGTGCTAGAGCTTTCCCTTTTAAATTCAGATGCAGGAGGTTTAAAGGCCCAACCCATTTCCCACTTTTGCCTTGACCCACAGGAAATTCTGATTTAAAACTTGTCTGCAGTGTCAGTGTGCAGTGAGTTTTCTAGCCGTGCCTCTGTGGCTTCTCCAATGCCTCCCCTCACCCTGCTGTGGCTGTAGTTCGGTTTGAGTAAGGAGTGACCTTTAGGCATTTAATTTTGTCCTAAAGACAGCACGGGGTGTTTTTGCCAGAGGTTTTAAAAATTGTGTTAGAAAGAGTGTTGCATTTAAAGAAGGCAGTATTTGACTAGAGCAGTGGTTCTCAACCTTCCTAGTGCTGGGGCCCTTTATCTCAGCCTTCCTAGTGCTGGGGCCCTTTATCTCAACCTTCCTAGTGCTGGGGCCCTTTATCTCAGCCTTCCTAGTGCTGGGGCCCTTTATCTCAGCCTTCCTAGTGCTGGGGCCCTTTAATACAGTTTATGTTGTAGAGACGCCCCAACCAAAAAATGACTTTTGCTGCTACTTCATAACAGTAATTTTGCTGCTGTTATGACCTGTTATGTAATATTTGATATGCAGGACCCCTGTCAAAAGGTCGTTTGACACCCCTCCCAAGGGCTCATAACCCACAGGTTGAGAGCCACTGGACTGGAGGGTCTGGGGCCCAGCCATGTTGACAGGGAGTCTGGGCCAGTGGATGTGAGCCTGGGGGAAGGGGAGTCTACTGTAGAATGCTCTGCTTCAGGCATATCTGCCACCATCTTGTCACAGTAGTTGTGACTTTTTGCAAGAGTGGGGCCTGGTGACTACTGATACCCCATCATAGGAGGACGGCATGTGTGGTGGAGGGGGCTTTGTTGGACCGTCACTTCATCTCACCACTCCCCCTTTACTTCACAGATAGCTGTATATAATTCTTTCTAATTGCATGTGGCCACATGGCCTTGGAAGATGCTAGTGTATATAGACTCTGGACATTTAGTTGAGAGGAGATATCTATCTTTGCAGCTTTGGGGAAATTGTCATCCATACTGGAGTGAGACTTTGTTGTGGCATGGCTCCTCGATTTGTTCTTTAGACTTGTACTTTGGTTTGCCCTATAAGGGTAGGCAGATGTTTGACCTCTACGGGAAGAGTTCCCACAGTGGGCCTATGATGTGTATGTGGTCCTAACAGCTCCTGCTTTCTAGTTCTTCATATCCAATGAGACACTGCCTTCAGAAGCTGGTTGGTTCCCTTACCCCTGGCTGTGTGACTTAGAGGTTATGTTGTTGTTGTCTGCAGGACCTGAATGCCTACAAGAAGCAGGGGATAGCATTACTGACCAGAGTTGGTGAGTCAGTCAAGCATGTCACTGGAGGCTATAAGCTGAGGAGTCGGCCTCTGGAGTTTGCAGCCATCGGTGACTACTTAGACACTTTTGCACTCAAACTGGGAACCATCGATCGGATAGCCCAGCGGATCATCAAAGAAGAAATAGGTGAGCCCTTTGTTGAGATTGATGGTGCCCAGAGTGGTGGGAATGGCGTACATTATGCTGGCCTGAAGCAACCTGAAGACATTCTGCAGTGACAGAACCAGGCCTTATTCTGTTTAAAAACCAGATACAAAGAGGGAGGGGCTGGTGGTGCCTGGAATGTGTTTTGCACTCTGTCCTTGTGGTTTTGCACTCAGTCTTTAGTCTTGCACTCAGTGTGGTGTTTGCTGTTTCCATGCCCTCATCCACAGGGCCAATGGTTACAGAAATAAACGTAGCCGAGAGATGGCTCGAAAGAAGTGTGTGTGTGTGGCACCTGTGCTTGCCAAGGTCATGAGCCATCGAGCTTTGAACTTAGTGTTTCCTCCCTGCCCCGCCTCACTTCACATCCTCTCCTCTGAGCTGGGGAGTTGCTCACATCTGAGTCTGTCCCTGTCACCACTGCCTGTCTCCCCCCTCCTGTCATAGTCACCGGATTAACCTTTTCCCCTTACACAGCTGTAGGCAGACACACCTGAACAGCGTGATCACCACACGGAGACATGAAGCACACCACACAGGCCTGTTCAGTTATACAGTGGCAGCCGCATCCTGCCAAATGACAGGACCCTGAGACAAAGGGAGGGCTGTGTGAAGACATCATTGTTTTTCTTATTCCCCAAAACCACTGATAGGATACTGAGCGAGGGAGCAAGTCACCTCTGTGAGACTACATCTCTTTCAGCAGCGTGTCCCCTAGAAGCCCGTTGTTTTCCCATTGTGACTGACTTTTTCTTTTTAAAAAAAAAAAAAGTCCCCACTCTGGAGTACTAGAGATATGACTCAGGTTAAGAACACTTGTTGTTCTTGAAAAGGACCTGAATTCAGTTCCTAGCACCTACACTGTGGCTCACAGCCATCTATAACTCCAGTTCCAGGGGATATGAGGCCTCTGAATCTATCTGAAAGTCTCCCCCATTGCTTTCCCAGACATGTCACGTGCAGCATCATGGGGGGGGGGTAATTATTCCTGAAGGAGTTTGTTGCATTTGACTTTTAACCTTTTCCCCCCATAAGGCATTTTGGTTCTGATTAACAAGAATCCTAGATTTGTGTGTTAGTAGTAACCTACACTAGCTTTTAGATAAAAAATGTTAGAAATATATTACCCTTAAAGGGGGGTGTGTCCAGGAAAGAGAAGAGCCGAGGCTGTGTGTCCTAGTTTAGAGAGGTTTGGGCTGTGGATCCCTAAGTTGGTCACACCAGTGGGTGATCTCCAGCCAGATTCCAATGGCCATCTCTTCCTGTAGAGTACCTCGTAGAGCTGAGGGAATATGGGCCTGTGTATTCCACATGGAGTGCCCTGGAAGGGGAGCTGGCGGAGCCGCTGGAGGGCGTGTCAGCCTGCATTGGGAACTGCTCCACAGCCTTGGAAGAGCTGACAGATGACATAACAGAAGAGTTTCTGCCTGTGCTCAGGGAATACAGTCTGTACTCTGACTCCATGAAGGTAAGCCGGCTTGCTTTTTTGCATACTCACCAAAAGCCTATGGATTATTGCCTGTTTCCATGTGGTATACATCCCATCTTTGTAGTTGGGAAGACTAATACCAAGGTCATATAAATAGGACATATGGTGAGCAGAGAGTGTGAATTAAGCGGAAAAACAGATTGGAAGAAATTTTCTCAGTGTTCTCATACTGCGAAATTAAAACAGGAATGGGATGCTGTGGAGGAAGATGATCAGATAATTTAGGAAATTAAAAACACAATTTGTTGGGGCTGGGGAGATGGCTCAGTGGTTAAGAGTACTGGCTGACATTCCAGAGGACTTGGGTTCAATTCCCAGAACCCACATGGTGGCTCTCAGTTGTTTGTAGATCTAGTCCCCAGAATCCTTTTCTAGCCCCCTCAGGCCATAGGCACTCATGCTGCAGATATCAGCGGGCAAAGCACCTATGCCTAAAAATTTAATTTAAAAGTATTTGATTTGTTAAATAAAATTGGTAAAGGTGAAAACTGAAGTTTGAGGAAATCTTAGAAAGTAAGACCAAAAGAAGTTGTTTGACGGTGAAACACAACTGCAAGCATGTAAAACTGTTCCAGGAGGGTGAGGGACATCACAGCCTTGATCTCAAGGTTCCTAACTGAGAAGTCCTAACCGAGGGAACAAGAAAACTAAGGGAGGGAAATTGAGGAAGTGATAAGAAGAACTTAAGGGAGAATGTCATATATAAAAGGTATAAGAGCAAAATAAGCTTTGGCTCAGTGGCAGCAAGTGAGAGCACACCAATCTGTATACAGCATATGGATGACCTGTTCTCATGCCCCACATGGTGGCTCACAGAGACTAGCTGAGAATGTAGCTTCAGGGGATCCCTGTGAAGGTGGTACCAGGCAGAGAAAGGATTTGCCTTCCAACAGTGTGAACGGCTCTGTGTTGGAAGCCCACTTCAAGCAGCCCCCTTCAGATTACCAAGGACGGCCCCGAACTCTGATCCTCCCACTTACAGATACATGCTGTACTAACTACACATGTACAGGCTGCACCTGCCTAACCCGGAGGCCTGGATTGGTGATTATTGGAATAGAGCCTGAAAAACCAAAACTTCTGGCCCCAAACCTGCAGCTCACTGTCATCTGTTACATTGCTTTTTGCTGTGGATATAGATAGGTAGATAGGAAGGAAGAATTTCTAATGTGTGGCTGAAGCAAGTATAGAAAAGCATCCCGAATTATTAAATGAACCAAAACATTTTCACTTCTCTTACGAGGTTAGCAGTACTTGCTTTTGTGAACAAAAAGTAACTTTTACAATCGTTGGGGTTTGGTGTGGATTTGACTCTTATACACACACATGCACCCTTCATCAGGATGTTTTCCAACCTTACTCAGACAGAATTCAATACGCGCACAGTTTTAGGGTTTTTCTATTCTAGCATGTGGTAAATGTGTCAATACTCAATATACATTTGTGGTAGAGCAAGACTTTAAATTGCTGTTAAGCAGAGACTTAACTGGTATCTTAAAGCATGGGCTGCAGTGTGAGGCATTGGGTTGCCGGAGCAACTGAAGACACAGCAAGGAAGTAGTGGGTTGTTTCTCTTGTTCACCCCATGTGTGAAGCATTGTACTGAGTTTCTTAATCCTTGATCTCCAAAATACTGCAGTCAGATTAGTGGGGCAGGAGAGAGGATTGCCAACAGTGTTGTGGGGGAAGGGCATGGTGAAGAGGAAGTGTTGATTGACAGCCTCTGCAGCTGGAACTCTGTTCCAGTGCTAGCTGAGGTAAGCCAGCTAATAAAGGAGACTGATCAGGGATGCGCAGGGTGACTCCACAGCAGAGCCAGCGTTGACCTAAGGTTGTTGAGGTCCAATGCTCTTGGATAAGATTTTCAGTGATGCATTGATTCTCTTGTGTATTCATGCTGCCTAAAAATCTATTTTCACATTTTACTTCCCTAAGAGAATTCTTTTCAAAAAAGCTTTCTGATCTTTTATTTTGAGACAGGAGTTCTGTGTGTAGCCCTGGCTGGCCAGGAACTCTCCGTACAGACCAGACTGGCCCTGAATTCTCAGAGGTCCTCTTCTGGCTTCTAAGTGTGGGATTAAAGGTGTACACTGCCGTGCCTGGCAAACATTCTGGTGTTTTATATTTGTGTCAGAGGCTTTGGAGTTTGCTGGAAAAAGGGAAATTGAGAGAGAGAGAGTTTACTGGAGGCCTGGATGCAATCCTTTCTTGCACGTGCTGGGTGGGCTGCAGGACTAAGCAGATTCCTCTGGCTTTGCTTCCAGGGTTGTTATTGGTGCTAGCTTTGAATGAACCAGAGTGAGTCTTTGAGGAAGCCTCTTTCCCTTCCCACAGTTTAAGAGCTCACAGCCTCACCAGAGGAAGGCATGGGCTTGAGCTTGGGGAGAGGTATTGTAATCTCTGCTGTATACCCACAACTGTGGTATTTTCTTGGAAAAAAAAATCCAGTGTTGATGTTGAAAGTCAAACCACAGAATATGCCTGGGATTCCTCCAGTTCCCTTCATCATTGTAGGCAGAAGGCTATTTGCCACAAACGCGTCACAATTGACAATTCTAAGTCTCCTATTGGTACTGTTGGTTCATTGCAAACGTTTTGGATGACAGGTATTATGTTTGTATTGTTTGATGATTATTTGTAGAAAATTTCCAACATATCCAGAGAGGATGGGGTGAGTGTAGCAGAAACAGGAGGGTTACTGGGGTTTGCAGAGGGAGAGACAGAGAGAATTTTAAAAACCAGTTTTTAAACAATGGTCACATATTTAGTAGTGCTCAAGTTGTCTTGCACAATTTATAGTTCTTTCCCCCAAATCCATCAGAATCCATGTATTTATTGATAGGTTTCTTAAATATTTTATAATTTCCTCCTATTTTTAAAAATTGTTTTCCTCAACATTTTCTTGTTAAAAGTGAGCACTAAACTGAGTCATTAGCTTCTCTTCATCTTCACAGAACACTAGTAAAGTTCCAGAGTTTTAGGACCAGTTAAAGTCATGCTGAAGCGCTCCACTTCTGCACATGCTATCTGAGCTATTCTGTCTCAAATTAAATTTACCCCATCCCCAAACCCCAGTCCTTCCCACATTTGGTGACACTTCATGCTGCCTGCCTCCAGTATGGTTTCCTTGTTTGATGTCTGCCCCTCCCTCTCTGGCATGGAAGCTCTATGAACACAAAGCTGTTTTGTTTTGTTCTCTGCTCTTAGATTGATGAATCAGGATACCTAAAGGCAGAAGTAGAGGAGGAAAGCTAGTGACACAGAGAGAGGCTCAGGAGGTAGTGGTGGGGGACTCTGTAGAAGGAGCCTCTTGGCTTTCACCCTATTATATAGGGTCAACCCTCTAACTGTCATAAGCTGGTTTGGCCAGTTGAATCCACAGAGACTGTGTTATTGGAGTGGGACACCATCTTTGACATGGCCAGAAGTGTGTAGAGGGGTCCCTAGAGAAGATGCCCAACCTTCAGCATGGCTGGGTTATGGTAAGACTGTGAAACTTTAAGTCAGAAGATGGTGGAAACTGAATTGTTCTTGTCATGACATCCAGCAGTGTGGCCTCAAGACAGGTGCCATATTGTCACCATGCCAAGTGTCCTCATTTAGACAGTAGGTTCTATGTCTTTCACCTCCACCCAGTTATTTGGAGCCTTTTATACTGTCCAGTGATTCTGGGATGTAAGCCCAGGTCCTCCCCACAGCCTGCTCATGAAGACAACATCCCATTGGCTCCAGGTGAGCTGGGGTGGCACAGGCTCAGATAGAAGAGCAGCCAGACCAAGTGGAAATCGAGGCAGGGCATCATCTGAGGTCCTCTTGCCCTCTTTGTGGAATGGCATGAATGGATGGACTATGGTAACCATCCCAGGTGATGCATCTTCTCTCACATCCCTCTTTAGGAGTCTTGGCATCCTCAGCCAAGTGCCACAGTAAAAAACAGGAGAGAAAACCACATGCTGGGCTGACAGTCCCAGGGCATCATCTCAAGAACGCTGGTTCTGAGATTCCTGTTGCTACAACAGGGTACATGTCTGTGCAGTGTCATTTCTTGGAGTGCTAGACTGAAAACGATGCCTTTTCCAGTAAGATGTTCAGCATTCTGTGAGGGGTGTGCACACACACACACACACACACACACACACACACACAGAGAGACAGAGAGACAGAGACAGGCAGAGAGAGACAGAGAGAGACATAGAGACTTCATCATCTGTTTCTCTCTGGTAGAGAGGATGATGTCAGTATCCCTGGCCCCAGACCAGTAGATTTAGATTATAGCCTATGCTTTGTGAAGTCAGAAATGACCCCTGGTTTCTGTTATTTTCTTTTTTAGACTTACCCTATCTAATGTGCTACCCACTGGCCATAAAAAGACTTAATTAGCTTTAAATTTAAAGAAGTAAAAAAATTCAGGGCTAGAGAGATGGCTCAGTGGTTAAGAGCACTTTCTGCTCTTGCAAAGGACACAAATTATGGTTCCCATCCATGTCGTGTGGCTCAGAACTGTCTATGACTCAAAGTCCAGCAGGATCGACACCTCTGGTCTTGGTGGCAACCTGCATGTACATGTACATGTGTACACACACACACACACACACACACACACACACACACATCCATTTCTTCAGTCACACGAGACACATGTCAGGTACTCGATACGCAGATGGTGCTAGTGACGGCTGTGTTAGAGCGTGTGTCTGTCACCACAGAAAGCCCCATTGGTGACATTCATGAGTGTGCGGAACACTTAGGAGAAAGTGAATGGGAGGTGAATGATGGCAGGTTCTAATCTTCAGGAGAAGACTTCAGTTGTCAACCCAGTGATGATCTCCTTTAGAAGATGGGCCTAGAGTGCCCTTGGGTGTTCAGTCATCCAGCACTCTTGAGCACATCAGCAGGGATGCCAAGTGTCTAACACTTAGTCCAGGAATGGGTCTTTCTTGCTCCACGCTGTGTTAGGAGGTCCCTGTGTGGAATTTATGATTAGAGCCTGTCTTGGTAACCTGTGGCTTTGGAGGCAGTGGGTGGAAAAGCTCTCGCTGTTCTGACTGGCCATTTTTAAATGTACTGTAAGGTTGAGAACATTACAACCGGGTGGAACCGAGCTGTGCTTCTTCTACTGCAAGCTTTGTGTTTGGCACTTAGGGTCTAAGTAGCAGTGCTGAGACTGAGGGGAGGGAAGAGAACCTGGTATGCAGGCTCAATGGGATGATCCCTCTCTGGTGCTACCTGCTAGCATGGACTGAAGAGTGAACATGCCCGTATGCCTTTCACCTGAGCTCCCGGCTTGCCTCATCTCTGTCTCTCCCAGGCTGGGTATCACTGGGCCCATTTGCTGCTACTCCTTGCAAGCTTGCTGTATGAATCGAGGGACTTAGACCCATCATTCAGAGCTCTTGTATGTAACGGCCGTTTCTTTTGTAACGGCCGACGGGTTCTGCTACTTTGTAAAGGCCGGCCGGTTCTGCTGCTCCGGTCGGCAGGTCAGGGTCTAGCAAGAGAGAGAGTGGGGATGGAGGAAGGGGAAAAAAGGGGCGAGAGACGCAAAAGATAGATACAAGACAGAGTCCGGTGGCGTCTCTTCAAGTCTCTTCTTTATTCTCCTCTCTTCTTACTATATTCTCACTCCTTCAGTCTCCTGACACCTCTCACTTTCTCACTCCTTCCTCTACTTCCTACTTCCTACTACCTCCTACTACTTACTACCTCCTACTTTCTACCTCCTCAATAGAAAGGAAATCCTGGGTATTTATACCCTTTACCACGTGACTTACCCTCGTGGACAATCTCAACTGAAGCCACTACTTCACGTGCCTTGTAGCCATGGATACCAGGAGCACCTGGCAGCTGGGGGCACTAAACAGTGTAACAAGATGTTTTTCAGAGTGCGCTCAGCTATTGCAGGGTGTTGAAACAAGTCTCTTGTCAGGGTATATGGCTCAAGATGGCTGTAAAGATGATAGCCACTTTCGGCTAAGAGTCGGCTCCCAACACTTGTACACACATCTCTTACATATCAGGAGCTCTCTCAGACTGAACCCTTGCCTAGGGCCTGAGTCTCTGCATGCTTTTCCTGACCCAGAATAGAGAACAAACAACAGGCAGATCAGTCTACCAGGGATCAGCCAACAGATCAAAAAGTCAAGAACTAGCTGGGCGGTGGTGGCGCACGCCTTTAATCCCAGCACTTGGGAGGCAGAGGCAGGCGGATTTCTGAGTTCAAGGCCAGCCTGGTCTACCGAGTGAGTTCAGGACAGCCAGGGCTACACAGAGAAACCCTGTCTCGAAAAATCGAAAAACCAAAAAAAAAAAAAAAAAAAAAAAAGTCAAGAACTCTCCTACAGTCATTCTATAGCATAGTGAGTGTAGCTGATTAGTGTATCCATGAAAATTGCTGAGAGTAGATTTAAATGCTTTCACCACAAAAAATAAGTATGAAGTAATGTCTCTTACTTAGCTCAATTTAGCCATACCATAATATGCATGTATTCTGGAACACTTTATGGAGAGTAAATATGCATGATTTTTGTCAATTATATAAATTAATAATAACAATTAAGAACTGTTTTTACTAAGTTTTTTCTACTGAACCCAGAGACAGCCCTGCATTTTAAGCATAAAGCTTAGTCTGCTAGAGGTCATTGTACATGGTAAAGCTGAGGCCCCCAGCAGTGTGGCAGTGCTGCCAGGCTCCCCAGCTTGTTCTTACCAAAATTTGTTGCTGTCAACATCTGTAGGGTTCCTCCCTGGAAAGCTCACCCTCCGAGGTTGGTTCTCCTTCCTTCCTTCCTGCACTTAGAGCTGGTGGTACGTGTAGCTTCTGTCCTGGGAGCGCATGGCACTGTGATCTGGCGAGGGCTGGGGATGGAGGCTCCTTGGAAGACTGTTAGGAGCTTTTTTCTGCCTTCCACAGGGTGTATTGAAGAGGAGGGACCAAGTGCAAGCCGAGTACGAAGCCAAACTGGAAGCTGTGGCTCTGAGGAAGGAAGAACGGCCCAAGGTCAGGATAACACCCAGTGAGGGTGGGCAGCAGCTTCAGGCCCCCTGCTGCTGCTGCCTCTCATCCTTAGATTGAAGGATATAATCTGATTCTTACTTGTGATTGGAAGTTTTATTTGTATTCACAGAAGGGATGGGGGTAGGGAATGTTTTTTAAAAGATAATATTAAGGACCAACATTCAGGCAACTAGTCATCTGTTCTCACCTCCCTGGAACAGACTTGGGAAATGTAAAACCCAGACTAGACCTCGGAGATAACACTTCTTCACTTTGTTTATGCTTTTTTTTTTTTTTAAGAGTTGCCTCACATGATACTGTGTTAGTCATCTGGGACTCAGAGCGGGTGGAGAAGTGAGTCAAAGAGTAGCTCTGGGGATTGCCTGGCCTTTCAGGGCGCAGATGTGTCCGTATCCAGTATGCCGTCATAGCAGGTGGATACATGGCTGCTATGTTGATTCATATGTTATCATGGATCCACACTAGAATTCAAAAGCTGCTTGCATCTTACATGAATCTCTGGCCTTGCTTTGAGAAGGAAACAGGTAGAGGTTTATATGTTAGCGCATGTAAATGTCCTACATGTCCTGCCCACAAAAAGAACTCAAGAATGTATACTTGTAATGTATTTTAAGGGGATTTAGGACACCACCTTGCACTGCAACACACAAAACTGAGTTTGAGCACTGAACAAATGAGCAAACAACAAGAACCATGGACACCGTAGACACCGTAGACACCACATCCGACATGGAGGAGCCTATGTGGGCGCTGTAGCTCATCCCCCATTCAGACAATTTTTTGCCATCTGAGGCCTTAACAGGTGGCCCAGCCCCCAATGTTTTATACCTTGTGATAGACAACACCCATCAATTATCCTTGGATATTCCCGTCCCATTGTTGGTCAGACACAAGAACATGACTACCTCAGTCACAGAAATGAGAGTATTGAAACAAAGAGAGATTCTAGGTGTTCCTCATCAGTTAATTGTCACAAAAACCCACAAACAAGAAACAGTCACACTGTCAGCTCTCTACAAGCATGAGTGTGCAGCTGTCAGCAGTCCTGGCAACCTCAAAGGGAAGGTGCCCAGTCCCTCAGCCCTGTCCACACCATGTTGACATTGCTCTGGTTGGTAGCTACTGACTCAGAATAGTAACTACTGTAGCTTGGGCACATTTGGGCTCCATTGGGGACTTAAAACTTTCAAGGTTCAAGCAACATTTGCTTCTGGCAAGTGTTGGCCTAACTTTGAACATGGAGCACTTGAGATAAGACAGAAAATCTGGCTTAGGAGAACCACCATGACCAGGAGGCCCTCTCTAGCCATGTGGGAGGAATGCAGCTTACCACAGCAAAGCGAAGGTCATGGAATGCAGGGGACACACTTCCCTTTTGGGAAGTCTTTCTAACCCTTAAGAAAAACTTGAAGCCACTTGCTATATTATGCTTCAAAATTTTAATACCCTTCAGGGATTTTTCCTTCTGTTTTTGATCTTTATGGTTAACTGCCACTCAGAGCACAGAATGGTACCCAGTTCATGTATGATGTGGAGTTCAGAAGAGGTACCTGACTGGTAACCTCCTTATTCAGTTCACTCAGATACATGAGGAAAGGTATTCTCAGACATCATAAGTATTGGATTAGTTCATGTGACCAGAACAGGAAGTCCTTCTCCTCTAGTTCTGACACAATGCAGCACGATACCCAGGACTGTTGCTGTGTATGTTAAGTCTATACCTGTTTGTCAGCATGACTGAGTAAATCCTAAAAGGACTCCATACTGCCTTACTCCATACAGAGAAAGGGGTGGTTCCCCCATGTGTCTCTGCTCTGCTTGGATAGGTCAGATGATTCTTGGGGCAGGATAGTGCTTTTTACAAACCCTTCCAGGGTCTGCTTTCCAGGGAGCACTTTGACATTTTAATTTAGAACAATGTTTGTGGAGAAGCTCACAGTAGGAGAACCCAGTCACACTTTAGAGCCAAGGATATGTTTTCCTTCCAGGTGCCAGCAGATGTGGAGAAGTGCCAGGATCGGATGGAGTGCTTCAACGCAGACCTGAAGGCTGATATGGAGAGGTGGCAGAGCAACAAGCGACACGACTTCCGGCAGCTGCTCGTGGGCTTGGCTGACAAGAATATCCAGTATTATGAGAAGGTGAGCACACCCACTGTGCGTCTTAGTAGCCACAGCCTTTCGTGGATACTGTCTTACTTGGGGATTTACTGCTGTGAACAGACACCATGACCAAGGCAACTCTTATAAGGACAACATTTAATTGGAGCTGGCTTACAGGTTCAGAGGTTCAGTTCATTATTTTCAAGGTGCGAGCATGGCAGCATCAAGGCACACACAGTGCAAGAATTGCTGAGAGTTCTACATCTTCATCTGAAGGCTGCTAGCAGAATACTGGCTTCCAGGAAGCTAGGATAAGCGTCTTAAAGCCCACACCCAGAGTGACATGCCTACTCCAACAAGGCCACACCTACTCTAAAAAGGCCACACCTCCAAATAGTGCCACTCCCTGGGCCAAGCATATTCAGACTACCACAGGTGTCTTCCAGAAATCCCCAAACATGATCCCCCTTGTCCCATCCTTAACCTGCCTCATGTGAGCTACCCCAGTGTCCTGGCAGACTGTGCTGGGTTTCAAAGCTGAGACCCTGCTCTCCTAGGCTCCCTCTTGCTGGAGGAAGTGGCTCTTTGATCTGGGAAGCTGCTGCTTCCCAGACCCAGTGATACCAGCATGGGTACCCCAATGAATGGAGGCTTTGGGGTTACTTCATGTTACCTTGTGGTTTGCATAAGATGTCTTCATTTTCCCTATGCCATGGACCCCCCTCTAGTCATCTGTTGAAGCTGACAGACATCATGCACACCAGAGGGAATTAGGTCCCATTACAGATATGTGTGAGTCACCATGCTAGAAACTGAACTCAGGACCTCTAGAAGAGCAGTCAGGTGCTCTTAACTGCTGAGTCACCGCTCCAGCCCACAGTAATATTTGATTTTAATGTTGAACTTTAAAACACTCTTTTTAAATAAAGGTATATGGAATTACACGGGAAAAAAATGCTATTTAAAAAGACTTTTTATTCATATACCCTTTTGATTTGTGGACCTCAGATTAAGCATTCCTCTTAACACACACACACACACACACACACACACACACACACACACACACGCGCGCGCGCGTGGGAGGGGAGGGTAAAAGATAAAAGCTATCTCCTGAAATCAAGGTTCACTCCTTATGTACCTCATTTGAAGTCATTTCTGGCAATAAGTCTTGATGTCCTTTCGTAGCCTAAACTTAGAGTTAAACAGTGGCCCAGTTTCAGTTGAAATAATTTGGCCTTGAAATTCAGCTGTTGGGAACAGAGCAGCCTCTTACCATCTTCTGTGGGAAGATGCTAGGGACAGGCCTGTCTCCTAGATTGTGCCCTAGGACTGTTGCAGTAAATCTCCAATCCCAGAAAGCCCTGTAAAAAATCCACATCTCAGTTATGACATTTATAAACTGCACACCTAGGTTGGGCGGATATACTCGACTCTGTTCCCCAGCTATGAAGTTGCTTGCTACTGGCGATTCCTCCAGGCCACATGGTTCTGCTCCATCTTCCTTCCACTTCTTCCTCTGGCTTCCTCTCTCTCCTCTGGCTGGTCTCCCCCTCCCCTTTCTCTCCTCTCTCACCCTCTCTAAAACTCCCAGCCCCACCTTTTCCTAACACTGCCCAATCACAGGCTCTAGCTGTTACTTGACTGGGTAACACAGGGACACGGTTCACCTGAAATCACCTGAGTAGTTTTGCAGAAGCAGAATTAGCATCAAAATACAAACAGTACCAAGGCAGTCCATAACATAGGACTTGTCCTTGGCTCACTGCCCTCCCCCTCCTTCCTGAGGCTTAGGTGCTTGTGGCTGCTGCTCTGAGCTGATGTGCCTGCACTCTGCCTGGTTTACTAAAGGGAGCTAGGGGGGGAGAAAGCTGTCCTCAACCCTTTCATGCCTTTTCTCTGATGTCCCTGCTGCCTCTAAACTGTATTTGTTCTAGATGCTTAGTAGGTGCCAGCTCATTAAATTTAAATCTTCATCCCACCAAGCGGTGTGGGTATCAAGGAACCCTGAGTGAGCCAAAGTCCTGAATGTATGTGCATTGTGACTCATTCCAAAGGACCCCGAGGCCTCAGACCCGTGAATATTGGCAAATGCATTTCATCCTATGTGCCAGGCTTGAGGGACAGAAAGCTTTCCTCAGAGTCTGAGTGTGAGCTTTTGTGAACAATTGATCAGGGTGTTTGAAGACTAGAACTGCCACTTCCCCCTCCCAGATGTTTACAGCAGGAGACTGTCACCTACAGAGACCTTCAGACACTAGCAACCCCCCCCCATGCTACTCCTAGTGAACTCACTGGGGTTCCATGTTGCTGGCAGGAGGAGCCCTCAATCACAGTGAGTACACCCCCTTCTGATCCCAGCTTTACTCTGTGTGTGTGTGTGTGTGTGTGTGTGTGTGTGTGTGTCTGTCTGTCTGTCTGTCTGTCTGTCCTTTCTCCCTTCACATCTAGTCAGGATTGCAGGACTCAAGGGTCATGGCAGTTAGTATGACAAGGAGAATTTTGTGATTAAAGCCATCATTCACAGAAGTTTAAAACCTGCTCCCAAGCTGAGCAGCCTTTGAGTGCCGAACTGTAAGTGTTTAACTGATGGAACCATCAGTCCAGACTGTCCCCACAACAGGCTTAGGAGACAGACAGGGGCCATAGACTTCTGGGGACAGTCCTGCCTTCCCAAAGGTAGGAAGTTCTCCCCATGTGAAATCAAGCCTCCTCCTGCTTGCCGTGTTAGGTGAGGCACCTGCCCAGCCTTTCTTTCTTCATTTATAAGTACTAATCGCTTTTTGCAGGATAATTGCAAAGACAAAGTAAAATGCACATGCAAGTTACCAGAACATGCCAGCATGTGGAAGACACGAAATTAAAGTTTACCTCAATGCTCGTATTTCAGAGTTGAAAACCAGTGAAGTCCAGTGTCTCCACCATGCCTGTTGTGGATGAGCCACCATCTATCTCTAAACTCCCAGAGTGCAAACTCAGGGCTTGCATCTGTTTCTTCCCATTGTACCATAATCAGGGCCTGTCTGAGGCCTGGCCTTGGCTTCTACATGTATCTGACGTTGTTTCTCTGCACTTTTCATATGCAAGGGATTGACTACCCAGCTGATAAATAGCAGGCTTTGCATAACCCTGTAGGCATCCTAAGTCCATCAGAGAAGCATCAGTGATAGATTCCCAGAGGTAAGGATGAAATAAGCGTGCTAAAGGGAAGGAGCAGGAAGAAAGGACTATAGGCCAGTGGAGTGGTCAGGAAAGGCCGCCTGTGGAACCTTGGAGCAGCCTTAGAATCAAAGATCTGATGAGCATATACCCTGGGCAGAGGGAACAACATACACAAGTCCCTGAGCAAGGAAAGAGCTTGGAACATTTGATAACTAAAAAAAAAAAAAGATCAGTGTGTTCCTCTTGGGACAAGAAGAAAGACCCTTGCAGCTATGAGAGGTGGCCTTGAATTTAGAATGTTGTGGGCCTCCCTTCCAGTCCATTGCTGGAAGCAAGCTCCTTGAGGATGACCAGTCTTTCCTTGTTTAGGACAGGTTTCTGAGTCTAGCTTTTTCACCAGCCATAGAGTGGCCAAGGAAGGTATGAGGGAAAGGTTTCAGCACTCCTCTTTCTGCTTGACCTCATGCTGCCTCTCATCCACCCTGCAGACCTCCTCCCCAGGTGACTCAGGGTAGAGTTCTTCATCCTGAATCTGTCTGTACAGCAGGCTTGCCCTTCTCTTTTGCAAAAGGCTTTTCAGAGGGAGGTCAGCCACTTTGAGGCAGTACCAAAGTCTTCTAAGTCCTTGTCCTGTCAGAAGGATCTGGAATGAAAGGAGCTGATATCAGTGTGCACTTGCGATCTAACTGTGAACCATGGGATAGTGAATATAAACTACACGACAGGATGTGGGCCTAGTAGAACCTGGTTGTTGGGCCAGTGTGTGGGTTGGTGGGGTGGGTAGAGGTGCTTGCTACCGAGCCTGACAGCCTGTATCCCTGGAACCCATACGGTGGGAAGAGAGAACTGACTCCTTGAAGTTGTCCTCTGAACTCCGCACACATGTCATGGTACATGTGCCCTCACCCTTCACATACACAGAAATAAATGTGGAGATTGCTAGACTCCCTTCTCTCCAGTCTTTGGGGATATATAAAAGTGGTCCAAACAAGCAAACCAAACTTTAGGTGAACAGAGTGTTTTCCACCCAGCCTGACTCAGGTGACTGGCCTCTGATGGTTCCATCCTTATACAAGCCTCGCCCACGCCTCCAACAATGCCTCTATCAGTTCTCAGAACTGGTATCCTCATCAAGAGTTTCCTGCCTGGTCTGGTTTTTGCTTAGTGAAGGTAAGGATTTCTTAGAGTGGATCCTTTCCACACATTGGGTGTAGGCTTCACACTCTCATGAAGGCATGCAAGCCTTATAAGGACATGGCTCTTCCATAAAGATGAGGGTGACGGATTCCAGACAAACATCTGCTACCGCCCCTATTGATAATAGTATTGATAACAGACGTAGGCGCCACTAGACAGGTGACTCGGCGGGATCAGGATTGACAGAGTAGCATTTGTCAGCTGACTTTGTGTGTGTTCTCTCGTTCCAGTGCCTCATGGCGTGGGAGTCGATTATTCCACTACTGCAAGAGAAACAAGAGGCCAAGTAGCTTTGGTTTTGGAAGAGACTCTTCTGCCTCCACAGGGCATGGTACCCTGAACCAGAATGTCCCTGCAGTACCGGAGAGGTCGCCGTGGGAAAACAGCACAACAGCACCTCTTGTGTGTGTACTTTCTCCTCGCCCCCACAGTTGTTTTCAGTTAGTATTTATTCCTTGGAGTCTGAGGGTGTAATCATCTCTCAGCAGAAGCATACCTCCGTATTGTGAAGGAGCCTCTTAAATGGAACACTACGAAGACTTGAACCTAAGGGGCAGGGTAACCCCCACATGACATATGACATCACTCTGGGGACAGTCCAGTTGCCATTGTAGGACAGAATCCCAGTCCTGCGTCTCAGGGACCTGGGGAGATATGAAGAAAGCAGCTGCGGCTTGCTGCAGAGACCCTGTGGCTCTGCATTTCACCTGTGAGGGCATTGAGCTGACCAGCATGGAAGGAGATGTGGGTACCTTCTCAGAATGTCCTTAATTTATAGTAGCTGTGGCCGTGGCCGTGGCCTGCTGCCTGCTCATGATGAATGGCATCTATTTACTTGTTTCTGGTTCACATGGGGCCACTTAAATCTGTGTCTGTGAACATCGATGCTTGAGTGAGCAAGCCCGCGTCCTTGTCCTTACGGGATGCCTCAGGATCTTGTTTCTGACACCAGAGTGCAACAGATGAGAAGCTTTTTGGTGTGAACTGGAAAAAAGGTGCATTTTTCTCCATGGAGGTCTTTGTGTGTTTTGCTTGTTAACTGTCATCGTTTTTGGGATTAGACCTGTTTGGAAACAGCTGCTGTCAGTGTCGCTCCTGTGTGCCAAGCCCCAGTGTCTGCTTTGTGCAATTTGCCTTTACCTCACCAAAATGTCTAGTTTAATCTTCCTGCCGTGCTCACTGACTTTCTGGGCAGCCTTGCAGTGAGGGCTTGTGGGCTGTATTGTTTTTGCCGTCACAATTTGTAAACTCAATGTGACTTCTACATGAGTGTTTTAACCCTCAAAATTCTGTGGTCAGGAAGAAAAGCATCTGCTGGTCCCTCACAGACGAGAAGAGCAACATCATGTTCTTCGTTTCGGGCTATCTGGAAATCTCCATTCGCAGCCAAAATCTGGGGGCTGCCACTGTGTTTAACATCTTCATTTGAAGCTTTTCAAATTGCCATAAAGCTAACAACCAGATCGGACCTCTCTTCTATACCATTGTTCTTGCTAAAAAGAAGCTGCATATTTGTGTTCTTTCATCTGTGACTCTTTGCTAAAAATCTGTAGATCTGAGCCACAGGTCAATGGAAGGGGCTTTGTTTTTAAGGTGAAGCAGTCAAGCATTGCTTCATTTACAAGTTAATTTGCAAATCTGATCATCAGACAGCATGCTAAGTCCTGTAGTTCCCTCTAACGTGGAGTCAGCTGCATCTGGGACATCATGGGACAGCAGCTAGATAGCATGAAACAATTTGTCTTCTCACATTTGACAGATTTGTGATAGAAATAATAATTCCTGCATCTATTGGTACTTGCCTAAACCCTATCTGTGCCATCCCAGAGTCCTTGATGTGAATTTTCTTTGGTACAAATAGAAATGGCCCAGTGAGGCAGAAGAGTAAGAACAGCCCATACACCCCAGCTCCAGCGAGTTGGCATCTCATTCTACCTCTCAACCACCAGGTTGGTGTGGGTATGGATGCTCAGAGCCAACCCAAGCTTGCTGGTAGAGTCAGGGTGTATATTTAGTCACCAACTGGCCTCCATTGTGTATATCAGCAGACACCAGACTAGTCCATCTTTGAGAAACATGAAGCTTTGCTTTGTGGACTGTATGCTTTGTGGACCATACAGTAACGTAATGATGCATACAATAATGTAAAAACTCATGGGAAGAACATAGAAAAAATTATGAAGATGCTAAAATTTGATGACCAGCTAGTTGCCAAAACCCCAGGTCAATCCTGTGTGCTGGTTAGTTACGCAAGAAGAAAACTCCATAGAAACAGCCTCCGGCTTCATTGAGAAATGTAGGGAGGGAAGCGGGGTCCATAGCCATCCCCTCATGAGAGGTGACTCTCACAGCATCTTGAGATGTTTGTCTTGTTGTGTTTATTTGACCAGTTAGCAATGTCTCTGGGCTTTGAGCTTCCAGAAAGAGCTGGAATAATGGAGATTTTCTGTCCCCTTAGAACAATGTCAGTGGCAGAGCCAGGGACACCCATGCACAAGGAAGCACTCTTGTCCTCCTCAGGATGGCAGCTGGTGAGCTGAGGAGGCTGGCCTAGAAGAAAGGAACAGTAGACAGTAAAGGAGGCCTTCCACCCTCCCTGCTCCAGAGGTCCCTCAGTCCCTGGATGGTCACCAGTTGCAAGCATACACAAAAGAGATTCCCTACATGAAGCATAGCTCAGAGACTACAGTGCCAAAATGCCCCAGAGAGGCTCCATTACTTACTTCTGGAGCCAACAAAGCCTTTCCCTGAAGTCACAGGTCCCTCTGACTTATTTTCCATGAGACTTTGCCTTAAGGGTACCATAGACAGAGGGATATAGATAACTTTTGAGGCTCGAGCACATGCTGGTGAAATGAAAGTTGGCTGTAGGCAACTGCCCAGGTCCTGAGAAATGGGGCCTTGTTCACCGGGTTAGAAACCTGCAAAGGCATAAGAGGGAATTCTTCAAGCGTAGGAGACTTGAGAGCTGTGATTGTTTAGGGCAGTTGTGGTTTGTAGCAGGAAGGGATACTACTGATGTTGGGATTTGCAAGAAGAATCTGGGCTGTGCTACTCAAAACAAGGAGGCCTTGCTCTGGAGTGAGGAGGGAATGACCCCTCAGCCTATGTGGGGTTGGGTTTCTTCCTCTCCTAAGGCTCAGCAGTATTGCTGCTAAGCGGGAAGTAGGGTTAGGATGGGCTTGTGCCACTCCAAGCTGCTCCTCACCACACCAGGTATTCACCCTTAGCTGAAAGAAGAAAACCTAGCATGCCTGGAGAGAGAGGTGAAATGTAAGACACGGCTCTCTATGCCAAATGGAGTGCGTAGAATGTAAACAGGAGGAAACCATATGTGAACACTACAGCATCTGGTGAGGGGAACTTTAATTTTAGAAGTGGGCATGATGGCAGTGTTTCTCTTTTAGAACAACACCCATGGAACACTCAAAAGCTTGTGTGACTTGTCCTGTCCAGTGGCACAGAAGCCGGAGGTAGCTGGCTGTTTCGATGAGGTCATTTGAATCATGGGAGCGTTCCTACACTACACTATCCTGAGCTGGTTGGGGTGGGTAGAGGAAGGCAAGGACTGCCTGCGAGGCTGTGTTGCCCTAATGATTTGGGTCTTGGGATGGGCTGGAACAGGGTTCCTGTCTGACTTGGTGGAACTGGCAACCTTGAAGGGTGATTTTTACCCTCAGAGGATCAGCTGCCTGTGGCTGGGGCAGGGCACACCCTTCTTGGTCCCATTCCCTTAGGGAGTCTTGCTAAGTATATGACCAGGAGAGTTTGGTCATCTTCATGTGCAAGACTATGGTGGGAATTTGGGGTTGCCTCCTGCCTTTCATAAGCCTTCAGGATGGCAACAGATTGGTTGTGCCTTCTCAGTACCTGTGGTTTTCTCTGCTCAAGGCAGCAGGGGCACTTTGAAGTATAGTTGAGGAAAATGGCTGCTCCTTGACCAGACTGAGATGCAGTCAGTGTGCCGAGCTGCTGGCTTCCTCCTCCCTGTTTATAATTTAGTGAGTGATCAGGAATCCAATATTTTACTAACCCACTCTGTAGGTTGTCGATGTTCCATTTCGAAAGTGTCCCCATGGTTGCACACATCAGAAGACAGGGACTCTGTGTCTGAGAAGGCTGAGGCGAGGCTCTGTTATGGGGCGGACTGTTCTTAGTCTTATCTGTTTGAACATTCCTGGGTATGACTTTATGTATGGCAAAAACCCATGTTACCAAAGTAGTTTTTAACTACTGTAATTTGTAAATAAGTGTTGTGGGGAGAAAAAAAAACTTTAAAAGATCAGTAAGATGTGTCTCATATATATGTACTTAGCACTTGAAAACCCTACACACCCAGAAAAAGCCACAGATTGTTAAAAGCCTAATTGTAGTTCGTAACAATTTGTCAGTACCTACTAATTGCCTTACTCTTCAGCTAGTGGTTTAAAGAGTCTGCACAGAAAGTCTTACACATGGAAGCAGTTGGTATAGAAACTTAATATAGGAGCTGCAGTCCTCTAAAAGTCTCAAGCCGGAAGGTGAGGGCCACAGAAGGAAGGTGGCCTTTCAGGTAGCAAGATTAAATATTGCTGTTGCCAAATAGTATTTGAAATAATACCAGGAAACAGGGACCACAGTACTGTTTGATGCTTTCTAATGAGAAAGAGGAATGTGAAATGCGTTGGCATAGTTTGGGCATGAAGGATACAGGCAGTATCAGCAGTGACAAATCACACAGCTTCAAAAAATCCTCTAGTTTATGACAGCATGACAGATTTACTCTGCTTCTGCAGAACGGACCCCAGAGCTTGTTTGAGATGGAGATTCTCCAAAGGTTGAAATGCCAAATAACATAAAACATGTTCCGTCGACTCAATATTAAAGCCAGGGTGAAGAGTTGCATATACCTTTCTCCCCGAAGTACTGCCCAAGTATGTGGTGATTCTAGGCTCTCCACAGTCCAGCTCAGAGCAGCTAACACCTGTGCACGCTGTTGTGGGACAGGCTAGTCCACAACCTTAGACCTATGCTCTGCCAAGATGCTGGAGGAAACGAGGGTTTTTTTCCTAGACTGTGGATTGGTGTAACAACGCAATGGCTGTGTCAGCTGGGCCTTCATCCAAGAACAAACCGGCACAAACCAGCATCTTCTACCAGTTAGCATTGTCCTCCTGGACCATGCCGAGGGTTAGGGCTCCCTCTCAGAGTCCCTCCTCACTGTATTTCTGTGTGCCTGTTCCCTTCATGCCTGAGTCGGGACTACATGGAGAGACAGCCTACATCTGACAGACTCCCACAAAACAAACTGCCAGCAAACTTTCTAACTCATATTTTAACTGTTCAAGGGGGGAATTAAAACAAATTTTTGGACTATGTTTTTTATTTTTAAAAATTGTTCTTTATGTTTAAAACTTCCAGAGATAGAAGCAGGCTTCTGAGGTATGGGGTCTCGCTGTGTGCTCTCTCTCTGTGCTGCCATTAAGCCAAAACAGAAGCTGTGAACATAAGTGCTTGAGAGAATGTGTGTTGATAAGAAAGTGATTTATTTACAGATCCAAGTCTTTGTCTCATGAAACTACCAAAAAAGAATGTCACCTTTTTTCTTTGTTGTGGAACCAGGGGTTATAAAAAGGAAAAAAAAAAAGTTGTTTTGTTGTATTTTTGATGCTGGCACAAGGTTCTTGTCCACTTTGGTTTTTCGTATCTCTGTATGTAAGAAATTCTGTCTGTTGTTTACTATGGAATTAGTATTACATTTTGAGGTAAACAAAGAATTTGTATTGCTTGATAAACTATTAGCTTGTAAATTAAAATTTTTTTCTTTACCTCAGTTAACTTAAGTAATGGACCAATAAACCTATAAAAGATGCTTTATTTACCCCGGGTCACATGCTCATTTGTCTCTGTCAGGAAAAACGGGGCGTCTGCCTTCTGGGCTTTTTTAAAGTTTCTATGAACACATGATAATTTTCTTATGAGAAAGCATAGAGTAACTGTAAAGACACACATGCACACACAAACTTCAGAGTCTCTTTGCCTCAGTTTGCCCTCCCCTGCATCTTACAAGTTGGCAAATGAAGAAACTGCTGTAGCATCATTGTTGATTGCCAGGCAGATGCTACAGAGATTTCGTCCTGCATGGAACAATAGCAAAACATATTTTGGGTCAGGGCAGCATTTCCTGTTTGTTTGTTTGTTTGTTTTTTGTGGGTTTTTTCCTGCCATGTTTTCAAGGCATTTCCAGGAAAAGGAATGCCTACAGTTTACGAGAGTATTAGCATTTCTAAGTAAGATGCCAGGGCTGCAGAGCGGCTCAGTGTAAAGAGCATGTGTTGCCTTCTCAAGGACACAGTCTGAATTCTGTTCCCAGTCCCTATGTCAGGCAGCTCATAAACATTGTAACTCCAGCTCCAGGGAATTCAAGGCCCTCTTGGCCTTCTCATCTGCACTCACTCACATGTATTTATGTAGCAGGATATTTTCTCCGAAACTTGGGAGGAGCTAACGTGGGAGGAGTAAGGAGAGGAAGAGGAGGGATAAGGAGAGGAAGAGGAGGAGCTGAGGGGAGATATAGTAGTCATGGAAGACCACGCATGTATCGAGAGCAGTCCTGGGTAACAACTTATATCTTAAGGTTAGATATTGGGACACACCTCTAATTGTGTGGGCATCTTGTTTATTGAGCATTACCAAATATACAAAGCCTTTGGATAACTTAAGCACTAGAGTCTCATTTTTACTGAGTACCACGTGGATAGTGGGATGGTCTGGGCTCTGCCCAGCCTTGTGGAGAGAGCATGGAAGATTGGCAGAACTATCTCCCACGCTGGCATTTCATGGTGGCAGGGCCGGTGTCTCTGGCCGCCTGAGTCGGCTGCCTGAGCCAGAGCAGTGGCGAGAATATGCCTCCGCTGCTCGAGACCTCAAGCCTAGCTTATTCCTGATTATGGGTGTGTGCGACCATACCTGGCTTATGTAGTACAGAAGATTGAACCCAGGGCTTCATGCATGCCAGGCAGCCACACCACCAACTGAGCTGCAGCCCCAGACCTGATCTTTGCTTTTAAAAGTAACAAAGGCAGCAAGCACCGCCTTGCACTTTATTGCTCTCCAGAAAAGCACTTTATTGCTTTCTAGTAGAGGAAAGCTCAGCCAAGAAAACTTTTTTTTCAAGATTTTACATTAATTTAAAAACAGTTGTCGTGCATACAAAACTGTTGTCAGTTTTTACAAAACATCCATTTCATGTTCATTCCCCTTCGGTTGGCGAAATTTAGGCTTTAGTCACAGTCTTCCATAGGACTTTAGCACAATTCCCCTGTGCCTCCATTGGCCTTTAAGACAGCAATGGAAGAAAGGGGCTGGCTGGCTGGAGCCTGAAGCACTCCAGGACCTAGAATGCCTGTGCAAGCACTGGTACACACAGACCTCAACCTCTATGTGGCAGAGGCATCTGAGAACTAGGAAATTTCCTCCAACACCCAGAAAGTGATTTTCCCTCCCACCAGGGTTATCGGAAGACTGGAACTCGGTTTCACAGGCGGTGAAACCTGGTCATCTCGGGCGTTTTCAGCTCCTCTGTTTCTCTGCATGCTCTCCTTGTTGTGACCTCGGGACTTGTTTGTAGGCCACAACACTGTAAGACATTGCAGAAGAGAGTTGTAAAAGGCTGGAATGAGGTGAAGCAGGTAGCTCCGCCTCCTCACCCACGCCTGTGTCATCTCCTACACCTCTTTCTCACCGATGGAGAGATAGGTTAACTCCATAGTGCATCATGGTGCTACTGAGTGAGAGGGTTGGCCCAGGAGAACTCTCCAGATGCTTTCCAGTCCTATGGCAATGAACTTCTCCCTGTCTCCAGTGACATGGTAAACTAGACAGTTGCCCCATCGTCCTAACTTCTCTGCCTCGCTCACACTCCCTGCATGGTGATGAGTTCTCGTGAGTATCTCAGTAGCAAGTTAACCTTCACTGATCCCAAGCAGCTCTAGCGACTTCAGTTCAGTTACCAGTTACCCCGAGGACCTTCCTGCCGACACTCCTTCCTCCAAACTAGGGTAGCACTTGCTTTGATTTAGGTGCTGGAGACCTGAACTCATCATCACGCTTACTCAGCAAGCATTTACCAAGCCATCTTCATGGTCGCAAATCATTCTTGTTATTGTTTAGACAGGTCTCAAGAAGCCTAGGCTGAGGCTGGCCTGGAACTCCTGATCCTCCTGCCTTCATCTCTGAGAGCTGGGATGACAAGGATGGCCCAGCATGCCTGGTTTATGATGTGCTGGGGACTGAACCTAGGGCTTCATGCTTGCTAGGTAAGTGCTCTACCAACTGAGCTATAGCCCCAGCCTTAGGTGCCGCACCTTTTTTGACAAAGCATTTATTCATTAAACAAATCTTTCTAGAATACTTCTTAGGTGCTGAGCTCTCTGCTGAACATAGTGGACACGTGGGGAGTCACACATCTGTGGTCTCTGTCCTCAGCAAGCCTACAATCTAGTGGGAAGCATATTAAACAGGTCAACATGGGTGGTCACCAAGTAGTGTGCTATGAAGGAAAAGGACAGGAGCTTAACAGAACTCAGATTAGAGCAAGACAAAAGGAGGATTTTTTTTTCTCATCTATAAGATTGGGATAAATAATAGTCACCTCGATGGAATCCTTAGGGATTATAGTATATAAAATATTTACCACATTTGTTAGAACCATTTTTTAAAAGCCTGGGATTGAGATGGGGTAGGAATTCACCTAAGTGTGCAGGCTGGAGAAGATGAAATTATTTTCTTTTGGTGGATTATATTTTCTCTTGCAACACAGAGCACCCGTGCGTGAGTACCTGTGTGCTCGTGTGTGTGTGTGTGTGTGTGTGTGTGTGTGTGTGTTAGGGAAGAGGGCTGCGGCAGCAGCAGACCCTCACAAATACTCCCTTAGCATCTCCCTGTTCATGTAAAGAAGAGCAGGAAGGGAAGACAGACACCCACAGTGTCACGGGCCTGTGACAATGCCTCCTTTTGTTATAGGGACTAGGTGGGGCTAGCATGTGTACACTCGCAAGCACACTCACACACACACATACACATACTTCACACACACCTCACACACACAAACCTCACACATACACACACCTTACACACACCTCACACATACACCTCACATGCATGCACACTCACACAATCACACACACACACACACACACCGTGTATAGACAGCCCTGACCTCAGCACCTTTGCTGGCATCATGGAGAATACAGATGCTAATTGGTCCAGCCTTCTGACTTTCTTGTCCTCCTCTGCTTTGCCCCACCTTTCTGGGACTGTCTGTTGATTGGAATGTAGCTTTTCCCTCTGTGGCTAGAAACCACACAGGTTTTCCCTGTTGCTTTTACTTAATGACTGATGGCACAGCTTGGCAACCTCTAGCTGGAAGAGATTTTCAGATTCTTATTGAGTGACCTCAAGGAAAGGGAAGGTCATGGAAATGCTGCTGTCACGCCATCCATGGTCAGTCTTCGTTGTACATTCAAATGACCTGCAGAGCTTTAAGTAATGCCTAGCCCAGATCAGTTGAGTTCTAGTCTGTGGGTATGGGACCTGAGAGCAGCCATTCTGAAGTCTTTCCTGGCCAAGCAATGTATAGAGAATGTGGCTTCGCCTGCCTGTGTCTCTCCTGCTGAAGGAAGGTGGCGGAAACACGTATCGGGTAGGTGCCTGAGCCACGGGAGCATCCCATCAGTTCTCACTTGGATGTTTCCAGAGCCTCTTCCTGCTTCTGGGACACAAGATCATGACAACACTGTGTGACCAACTGAGATTTGGTGTCGGGCTGGTAAGATGGTTCTGCAGGTAAGGATGCTTCCAGAGTACCTGAGTCATTCCCAGCACCATGCCGGAGGCTGGCAGCCACCTCCTGCTCCAGGGATCCAACACCTCTGGCCTCCAAGGACACCTGAACACACGTGCTTTTACACACACACACACACACACACACACACACACACACACACACACACACAAATAAATACATAAATACACAAATTAATACACCAAGCCTGATAACCTGAATTCAGTTTCAGAGCCTCCATAGTATAAGGAGGAGAGGTCAAATTCCTGCACATATACATACATACATACATACATACATACATACATACATACATACATACAGTAAATTAAAAAAAATTTAAAGGAACTAGTGCAGAAGGAAATAGCTGGATCCAAGTGCACTGGGTGAAGGGTCAGGGCATTACACCTGTTCCATGTTCCCTCAGCCCTCTACTGGAGAAGGCAAGCCAGCCTGCTTAGCACAACCCGTGTGAAGCTGGAAGAATCCAGTCATCGCTTTTGTTGGTCTGTTTATAACTTGATGACCTACATTGGCTTGTTAGACTTGTTTCCTACTATTGTTTCTGGGTGTTTATTTGGGTTAGAGAGGCCATGTCAACCTTCACTGAAATGGGATTGTTTACTTGGATGAAATTATTAATCCGTTGCAAAGCTGACAAGGGAGTTGGGACGCCTCAGAGATCTGTACTGTATGCTAGCTCTCGCCAGTTAGCCCAGCCCACACAGCCAGGATCCAAAGGAAGGGTCTAAAGGCTGGGCAGTCCTGGACAGTCGTGGCTCAGTTCCCATACCTGAGTACATGAGACTTGGCCATGGTCCTCTGTTTGCCTAAATATCCCCATCTGTTAGCTTTTTGTGTCTTATTTTCCTTGACTTAACAACGTGAATGGACTTACTGACTGATGGTTCCTACCGTAGGAATCCTGGCAGAGATCTAGATATTGTGATACAGCGTGAGGATTCCAAAAATGGCTTTGGGCTGGAGAGGTGGCTCTGCAGTTAAGAACACTGATTGCTCTTCCAAGAGGTCCTGAG